CCGGTGAACAGTCAACAGTCAATGTCTGATAAAGGAGAAACACATGACCCTAACACTGACTCAAGTGAGGTCGTCAGTCCCCCATCAGCAGACGAAGAGACTGAAAAAAACCACTAGGGAAGAAATTGTAAGTTAATCAAAAAGAGGCAATAGAAGCATTATTTGGAGATCTCATCCAATCCAGCATCCAGATCTTAATGAGCGATGTAAAAGAGGGGATGAAAGATAACATTACCCTCAGAACCCTTCTTCCATTTCCCGGCATGGTGAAAAAAGTGGTGGACCGGATCCGTTCTCTGCAACGTTTACAACTTAGGGTTAGAGAACCAACCGTGCAGCCACAAGACCTCCCAACCAGCCAACCTCAAGAGGCAACCCGTCAATGGCTTGAAACAGCCGAATCAGTAGCTTCCAGCTCCTTCACAAGGATGGATTGGTCTCAAGATGAAACTGATATAATCATGAAGCATTTTGGGCACATAGAGGAGCATCCGAAAAAGAAATTAGTAACCGAGGCATTTCAAACAATTGACGAGCTGATACCATTACTGGAGGCAAAAGGCTTGCAGCGCTGTTACAACAAAGTAAAGAACACCCTAAACAAATTACAAAAGCAGCAAAAGTGAATTTTTCAAAGTGGACCGGATTCTTTAGTATTTGTATTCTTCCAGTATTAGTATTTTCTGAAATTTTGTGCTTTATCGTCCTCTGCCTTCCACACAGTACTGAAGAGCAGTGCGTGTGTTGGTCAGTTCTGAGAGTGGCAGAGGCGAAAGTGAAAAACGAGTCATCGAAGTCCTTTAGTGTCTCGCTTTTAATTTTGTGATGTTGTGACGTGTGATACTTTCCTCTGGACTCTCCTAGTACTGTGTAAGCAATTTGTCAGGGATAAAACATGAGCCGGGGTACCCAACCCCCAGGGATTGCCCCACAAATTACTTACCAGTTTTACCTTTGTCTTGCTCCTCTTCTGCCCTCCAGACTTCTTTCTTATCGACCTCATCAACTGATGAAGACTAGCAGAAAAAAATCGACCTCATCGCCTAATGAAGACTCGCAAAACACCTCCTCTCACAGTAGTCCTACCTTATCGTGGTTGAGAGGCTTATGTGCCTTTAAGAACCCTAGAGCTCTGCCTGCCCCTGGTAGGGGAATCTCTCAAGGGGAGAGGTCAGACTAAAGGGACTACATAATTTAAAAATTTGAACCAAAATCGTGGGGTTTTAGTATTTTTCCATACAGTCTTAAAATTTTAATTGCTATTGAAAAAATTATAAATTTGTCAGTCCATCCTTCTGACCTCATACTGCAGTTAAAAGTAAATTGTCACGTTCTCGTCGTTGCAATTATGAAAATTTACAATTTTTTTGCTGAGTCAGCGTAATTCGAAAAACGTGTTTTTGACGGATGTCAATCAAATTGACAGGCATCACTGAGGTAATATAATAAACCATAACGTAGAAATCGTCATAGTCTATCACAGTGCTAAGTTTCAGCTTACTGGCTTCTATTGTGAATTAATTAAAATTTTTTAACTACCCTTATTAGAATACATTTGAGTGAAAACAACATGCAGTCCCCTTTATTATTACTCCATTTTATTTCTTTATTATAATTTATTATTTTTTCACAAAAGTTAAAAATAATTTAAGCAAGTTTATTAATAAAACTCGTCATTTTAAATTAAATAAAAAAAGAAAAAAAAGAAAAAATTGAAAACTGATTTTCGGAGTGTGGGGCTTGAACCGCAGCCCTTACATGACCTTGCTCTTTAAGACTTTAAACTAATACCAATCAACTAATAATGATTAATAAAAGCTAAACATCAAATACAAAAGAAAAATATTGGTGGCCCACACTGGCAGTGGATCAATGGAGGAAGATAAGGTCAAGGCACAAGCGAGACGGATTGGCAAAGAATTGGCGAAAGCGAGTCCAGTTCGGAAGAACAGCACCGTCACCACCGAGCTACCAGTGCAGGCCAAGCAAATTTAAGTAGTCTATTCTTTTTTTACCACCATGTTGGATGTAGTTTAAAAAATCATATTTAATTCAACTTAAATGCTAGTAAGCTGATACTTAACACGTTAATAGACCAAAACCTGTTCCACATTTTCACATATTGAATTTCCTTAGTCACACCTGTCAATTCGATTGACAGCTGTTAGGGTTATAATTAGTGACCCAAAGTGTTATAGTAACTCTTTTTACAAACTGGATACTCAAAGACCGACGGTGGGGATAGATTCGCAGCCAGGATAAGACATCTTAAAAACTAGAATTAAAACGTTCTCTGGCTAAAAATCTAAAGAATATCACCTTTCAGCTGTCGCTCTACATCCTTTGACATGTAAAGTCTATGATGTGTCTATAGCCTTATAATAGCCCTATGCACTGCACTTTTCAAAAAGCATGATTAGACACTGACTCCACAAAAATTCGACAAGAACTATTTTAAAAAAAACTGGTCAATTTGCAATTTTTTAACTTATTTTGACTAAAAAAAAATTGAAATATTCATTAAAAACATTTCAAGTGTCAATACTTGAAGACCAATCATAGGACATATATCACCTAAAATTTCAATTCATTCCACCTAGTTTAACAGCTTCCAAGATACCATTATAAAACTTGTATTTTTTTATGTGGGCACCCTCGAGGGCGGGGTTCAACCAGGACACTAACCCTAACCCTAACCCTAATTAGGTTCCCGGAAGTGTTCTCCTGCCCCAATCTTCCCTAGACAACATAAATTTTTTTCCTAGCAAGATTAAGGGTTTTCCTTCTAACTATAGAATGTTTGGTTCTCATCCAACGTTCTGTGTAAGTTTTAGAAGATATGGTTAAAAGTCTTTTAAGTTATAGTCCTTCAAAGTTTGAAATGAGGGCAGGTCAACAAGATCGGGAGAATCTATGAAGAAAGCGTTATTTTGTCACCAAATTTTGCCTGCAAACGTTTTAAACAAGATAAACAATCACCACAGATTACCTTTGGCTAACCCTGGCCAATTAAAAATCTCCAAACTTTGCTCGGGAAAAAATGACGGCCAGGTATACGCTCTACACATCACCTTGTAAGACTGGTCGAAGAAATTTGGACTATAAGGTAAGGTGATTATCCATGAAAATTATATCTCTCTGTAAATGCGAGGGTAAGAGTTGAAATTTACACAGGAAGTAACTATGTAAATTTTGTGTTATCACCGTAAGTTTCATGTTATTTCCACGCGGGAAACTCTTTTTAGAGTTGCTTTTGTACGGAGGACACTTTTCCAAATATTGTGGGGGCAAAGCTATTCCACATTTTCTGCTTAAGCAGTCGTTTTCTGCAAACATTCTTTAAAAGTTTTTACATTATTAGAAAGCTCTTTGCATGGGCTTTACATTGGCATTTCTTCAACTCCTAACCCTTGCATTGTTTTGAAGAAATTCTCTGATAAAGAAAGTGAATGGGGGCAAGAAAGCACTTTTTAGGTTGTCATGTAAAAAATCATATAAAATCGATATTTTAATATAACATCATTATATCCTGATACAATAAAGACAAATAGTAGGAGCAGCTTTTCAGAGGTTTTTTAGTTCTTTAATGGAACAGTCACAGAGATATAGAGGTCTAAATCATGCACAAGTTCAAAGTGCCAGTTTTGTCATTTTAAGGACATGGTTGACTTAATGAGACCACAACTACCCTTTAACCTTAGTGAAATACAATGAAACTCTATTGAAGTATTATCATATAATGGGACTTTAACTTACTTATAATTAGTGATATTCCATCAAGCGTAAAGAAAGATATAGAGACTTCAAGCTCCTTTAATGGAACTCAAATACATTTGCATATTATGGTCAACTTTAAGAGGCCAAAACTATTCTTCTGCTTTATCAATCTCAACGAAACTTTAACATAAGATGGTACATAAATAGGAATTAAATATACTTGAAATTTATGTAACTCCAATAAATCTACAAGAAAATATTTAAATTTGAAGATACCGTCATGATTTGCATAACATAGTCACTTTTCGTGCATCTGACACGAGGTCACCATTTCCACAAGCCTTCGACTGGTAAGTCATGCTTTTTGATGCTCCGTTATTCTTCTTGTTTAGCACCCTTAGAACACTAGGCAGAAGCAATCAAACTATTGAAAGAGATGTCTAAGGTGGTCGGGCAGCTTTCTTGAACATTTTCTTGCAATGGAAAACAGTTGCTTCTTCGTAGGCTTTGGTCAAAGTTTAAGGGTGCACTCTTGACCATGATGTTGTTGAAGGACCTCGTCACTAGGGCTTGAGGACCTCTTTTTTATATTTTGATGTGATATTATGCTTGTTTATGATGTAAGGAACCGTTTGGTGTTACTTGTTTTGAAATCAGTCCCTTTGTTCATTAACTATGACGTCATTTGGTCGGAAACTTTACAACTTAATAACTTTGCAAAGTCTCAGGCATTTGGCCACTTTAGTATTGATATTTGTTGGCTGGAGGAAGGCCTACATGCATGCCACAATTTGTCGCAAACGATAAAATCCTTGCGGAGTTATTAACGTTTAAACTTTCTTACAAAATGGCGGACGCAGTTTTTTGGTACCAAGTCCCCTCGGCGCGCGCGCGAAAGTGAGGGTAGACTTTAACTGCCTATATCTTCTAGAGGATATTAAATTTGAATGTGAAATTTACAGGGGTTGTACTATGGCCCACGAGCTACTATCTCATGTAATAATATTTCATTTTTAACTGGATAGTGGATTCTTGAACTTGCATCTGTGGACGATATCATTCAAGCTAGTTTGTATTTATGAAAAATGTCTGCAAAAGGCATTGAAGAAGTTAAGCGTTTGGCCACGAAAGGACTATCGGGGGATGAAGAGGCCATTAAAGAGCTGGGCCTAGGAAAAGTTCCAGAAGTTACAATCCCAGATTTCAAGGAGATTGACCGTTTCACGGTTGACAAAATTAAGAATGTAGCAGCCATCTCATTTGTAGTTGGGAAGAAAGTGGGCCTTCCCTTACTAGAGGCATCGGCCAAAAACCTGTATGAATTAGTCAAATTTGTCGAGAAAGACAAACTAAAGACAAATACGAAGCCAGAAATGGATCGCAGTGATGTAGTTAGAAGAATGAGCTACTGCTGCAAAGACATCGCAGCATGGTCGAGGAAAATTGGGGAGGTGGAGGGCGGAAAAGTGCTCCACAAACTTGGATGGTTTTCACAGAGTCTAACTCATTTAGAGATAGGAAACAAGGAGTCACTTCGGCTTATTGGTCTTAAGAGAATGCCAGCGGTAACAATTGCGCCGATAAAGAAAGTTCCTAACTCAATGACACTCCAATGCTATTATAAGAGGGCCCATTTGATTGCCTCAACGGCAGAGTATATGGGAAATACCACTCTTCGAATTGTATCACAATTCATGATGGCCATGTGTGATGTGATTGCAAGATCGCATCACCCAGAAGAACCAGAGCTCTCGGCAGACACCGACGGCCAAGACGTTTGCGAGACACTAAACGCTGAGATAGAAGACATCATGAGATGGGTAGAGCACTTAGCGGAACTAAGAAAGAAGGAAAGGGCTGATGAGGAAGAGGAAGATGACAGTGACCCAGCGTATAGTCCAGAATTAAAGAGCTCCCATACCCAGTATAGGGTCCATCTCAAGGAGGCTAAAAGGTATACTGGTATCCAAGAGTTAGACTGCCTGCTCACTCTACCATCCAAGGCACCGTCATCCAAGCTGACATCTCCGTCATTCTTAACTGCTCAACCTAATCCACGTGAACACAAAACCAACGAAGATGAAGAAATAGAAGAGACCCAAGGAATAGAAGAGACCCAAGAACAAGAAGAAGAAGAAGAAGAAGAAGAATGGCATCCAGAGGGAGAGGTGGAGGAGAGTGACGAAGATTCTGAAGATGCTCCAACCATAAAGATCAGGAAGGAGGAGTATTACTCAGCGACAAAATTTACGAGTTACCGCCACCAATGGCTCTCTGGTTTCTTTAAGTACCTGAAGAGCCCATCAGCGGGCTACAAAAAGCTTGAGAATAGACTCCAGCACGTGGGCCAGGTGGAGAAGCTCTTGGAAACGCTGGACCCTAACGGTAAGGACATCACCATCCTAGGGGAGGAATTTGGAGATATCGTATGGAACAAATGGGTCAGCCCACACCTTTCTGAGGGAACGAAGGCACCAGGTACGTTGGCCTCCTATTTGACCAGTCTGGAAAAGTTTTTCGTTTTCGTCACGTCCGAGAAGTACAAAAGAAAGGAAATGCCGCCGCTGCATGGCAACGATTTTGACGTGTTTAAGGGGACCATCAACGCCCTGAAAGGCTGGCGTGCAACTATCGATAACGAAACCCAGGATGTTCAGCACCGGACCCATCTCAGAGAGTGCGATACTCTCTTGACGGAAACAGACATCAACCTTCTCCCTCAATCAAAACCCTACATAGATGGTATGAAGGCCATAACTCAGGCCAAGGCAGGAAAAAGGCTCTCCATACAACAATTTACAAATGCTCGCGATTTTCTTCTGGTAAAACTCGCGCTACTTGTGGCATCTCGACCTGCCCCGCTAGAGAATGCTCTTCTTGAAGACTACCAAAAAGCGCAGGAGAAGGACGGAAACAGGGTCATGTTAATCCCGAAGCATTAACGATCTAGAGAGGGACCAGCACCACTTGGCATGGATAAAGAGCTGCAAGATCTCATGGAGGTCTATGTCAATAAGATGAGACCACACTTTGTTGCAAAAGATGTCAAACACCTCTTCGTTAAGAGTGACGGCCAATCATTCAACAGAAATACCATTGGAAAAAGATTCTCTGCTTTCTTCGAGAAAAGTGGCGTGAGGACCGACAGACGCGTAAGCCAGACTGCTGTAAGAAAGTTTGTAACAACGGCAGCGAGAAGGCATGCCCCAGAGGAGATGTCGAATATCCAGAGGGTCTTGTGCCATAGCGAAAGGTCATCTCGCAACAGTTATCTTAGGTTGGACTTGACAGAGACGGCCTCACACGCCATGAATATCATAAAGAAAGTCACCTCCAGTGAAACAGAAACTAAAACAAAGAAAGAAACTCTTGCTGAAGAACTTCCCGAGAAACAAATAAAGAAAGGTGGTGAGGAGTGACCAAAGTGCAGACGTTGATCTTCCTGGGCCAAGCCAACTAGCGTCTGAAGATGACAAAACCTCCACAAATGTTATCCCACCAACAGTCTCCCCTGGCAAGGTTTCAAGTCTGACAGAAAAACAGAAAGAAGCCATTAGGCACAAATGAAGGCTGTGCGAAATAAAATGTCGACCACACTAATCTTAAGGAAAATGACTACTTCTATCTCAAAGGTAAAACAGGTAACCAACTTCGTCAACTACCTAGTGAGCAAACGACCCTTTGAGGTGGAAGGTTTGCCAACCCAAGCAATTGAAGTTGAAGAATGGCTTGATGACCAATCATCATCACTAAAATCTGATCAACGGATGCACTGGGATCAACGAGATACACAAGCGATGGAAAGAGAGTTCCGTAGGTTTCGAAAATGTCCACCTAAACAACAACTAAGGCAGATGTTCACGGTGAATGCACGCCTAGCTGCAATCTGTAAAAAGGAGGGTTTCAGTCGGTGCTACGAGAAGGTAAAGAGCATTATGCGGAAGAAAAAGAAGTAGTGACTCCAGCTACACGTCATAGTGAAAAATCACTGCTTCTCTGTAAATAACTTTGTTCGTGTTGCTTCCGTTCCTTTTACTAAGTTAGTTCAAGCCGTTGCGTGTCTTTGTTCATGTTGCTTCCGTTCCTGTTACTAAGTTAATTCAAGCCATTGCATGTCTGTAAATAAGTCTGTTCATATTGATTCCGTTCCTATTACTAAGTAAGCTCAAGACGTTGCGTTCCTGTAAATAAGTTCGTTCATGTTTCTTTGTCAGACGTTCTCCTGGCAACAATGAGTTGGGCTGGTTACCCGATGATACCCTCTGGTATTGTGAGAGTTTGTCAGGGATCAAACACAAGCTGGGGTAGCCAATCCCTGGGGAGTGCCCCACAAACTTTCACAGTCCCAGGTAATACTCTTGTCGTTTGAAACGGCAAGAGGGGGACCAGGAAACCACTTATCACAACAGTACAACCCAGTCCTCGTGCTATGACTATGGCCAAACTTATAAGCGTGCTTACTATGTTAAACTTCATTCAAATAAACTGAAATTTACCGCTCCAGCAGATTGATCCATTGTTAAACAGTGTGCTAGATTTCAAAGATACACCATGAAGGGTTCCAAAGTTACAGTGGTCCTTATGACTGGACCTCCCATTACTTGATCATGTTGCCAGTCAATCTGAAACAAAAAGATTAAAGTTGTCCAATCCAGTTAATAAATTCTCCCTCTAAAAGTACACGTCAAACACAATAACTCCTGCAACTTTCAGCAAATTCGCCCATAATAAAAGAAACCTAAGACAAAAAATCCCTCGATCTGAAGTGGGCAAGACAACACAGAGGGCCAGACAACAACAGGTGAGGGCAGGACAACACCCTATGTGGGCAAGACAACAACTTGTGAGGGCAAGACAACATTCGGACAACACACAAATGGGGGCAAGACGACCCCAGAGGGCAAGACAACATTTTTGTGGGGGGAAGACAACACACAATGGGGGCAGAACAACACAAGAACATAACCCTAACCCTAACCCTAACCCTAACCCTAACCCTAACCCTAAACCCTAAACCCTAAACCCTAACCTTGACCCTAGTCTCCACACGCGATGGTTTAATTTTAGCCGGAAAAAGAAGGTGAGTGTTGGGGTTATCTGAAAAATTCCTAAGCAAGGATGGATTTCTTTCTGGAACCATTAATAGTTAGAAGGAATTTGCTTACATAATAACCCTTACCGCCTGTCTGGGTAAAACCTTGAATTTAGACTAAAATGCACTGCTTTTCTTAACGAGGATTTCTTTCATTTCAATATGGAGGTCGAAATTTGGCAAAGTGCCCTAAAAAGAGATCTCAGACTGACAATTGGAAAAAGAGGTTGAATTTGTCTGTTCAGAGTTTTGTCGGCAGTCTAATTGTTGTTCAATTCCTTTCTCTGAACTGCAAACCTTTTTAGTGAAATGAAGGTGAAAACAAAAGACCATTTTATTGCAGTTGGTTGACAGGCTAGGAAAGGAAAGCTGCACTAGAGTTAAAGGAGACACTTGAATGTTTTCATCTTTGTGGGCACAGTGACCTGCTTCCCTTTTGTGGCGGTTATTGAAAATAACTTATTATAGCAGAGAACAAGCACACATTTTCTTAAACATCAAGTCAATTTTATTTTAAATGTGTTGAACTCCAAAATGAACATGCTGGTTGAATTTCAAAGTTGAGCAAAACTATCTGTCATCTTTGTCACAGAAAAAATTAATTTCCCCATAAAACACGACTGCCCTAGCTTGAATATTTATCAACAGCTTGTGAGGAACTTTAAAAACATCTTGCAAACAGAACATTTATGGAACACACTGGCCTGAGTTGAACTCCAAAATGAACATGCTGGTTGAATTTCAAAAT